TTTAGGGTTATAGGGTTTAGGGTTTAGGGTTTAGGGTTTAGGGGTTCAGGGTGGTTCAGGGAGTGGGGTCTTTCCCGCCTGCTTCCTGCTTGGCCTTCTTGGCAGCACGCTCCTGGTTTAGGGTTTAGGGTTTAGGGTTTAGGGTTTAGGGTTTAGGGTTTAGGGTGTAGGGTTTAGGGTTTAGGGCTTAGGAGAAGGGATTGAGGCAAGTAAATACCTACTCACCCGGCACAAGTTTTTTGACCGATTTCCGAAATTCCGCTCGGAAAAGTGTCCTGTTTCCTCATTCCAAATTCGGAAACAAGGATTTCGGATACGGGCTTGTTTTACTAAGCCGATTTTTGATACAGGACACTTTCTCCGAGCCGAACTCTGGAAGCAGCTTTTGCCCTAAACCCCAAACCCCAAACCCCAAACCCTAAACCCTAAACCCTGAACCCTAACCCTCTTTGGCGGCTTGCTTTAGGGGCCTCGGTAATGGCTTCGCCGAAAACCCTTCAATGGCTTGCTCCCCTTTAGCCTTCTCTACGCAGCCTTTTTTTGTAGAGGGTTTGGGGTTTAGGTTTGTAATGGGCTTAGGGTTTATGGGGTTGAGGTTTAGAGGTTTGGGGTTTAGGGATTTAAGGGGTTTGGGGGGGGTGGGGTTCCTCTGCGGGCTCCTCTTTGGGGTTCCTTTTCCGGGTTTCCTTCTTTCGGGTTCCTCTTCAGAGCTCCTCATCGTGTTCACACGCAAAGGCTCCTGCTTTTTTATAAGCCTTTCTCAGGTTCTAAAGAAGGGTTTAGGGTCTATGGTGTAGGGTTTAGGGTTTAGCGTTTAGGGTTTAGGGTTAGGGTTTAGGGTTTAGGGTTTAGGGTTTAGGGTTTAGGGTTTAGGGTTTAGGGTTTACCGTGAAGCCTAGGGTTCCCCTTCTAAGAGGGCGGTCAGCATAACAAGGAGAATCCTGAGGAAACGGAAAGCAGCCTGTGTTGGGATGCTCCCCCTTTACCTGGCAGCCCTTAATAGGGATTCTTATTATTGGGGGGGGGGGGGGGGGGGTACAACAGTCCCGATTAAGGACTGTTAGCATAAGGGGGAACATCCTAAAGTAAAGGTTCCAGATGTTGGGGGGGTCGAAGGGAGGGGTGGGTGTTTAGCTGTCGCCTGACGAGCTCCTGGACTAGTGAAAGCTGGAACGTGAGATGCTGAACCCAAAAACCGAAACCTCGAACCCTAGTAAACCCAAACCAAACCCAAACCCTGGGATGTCCCCCCTTCTACGAACAGGCCTTAGTAGGGATGACCCCTACTACAATCCCTATTTTCAGGACTGTTAGTATAAGGGGAACATCCCAACCCAACTCCCCCCAAAAAAAAAAAGAAACACACACACACACACACAAACACAAGAAAGAATGGCCTCTGCAGTGAGGGGCTTCTGCGTGGCTGCCGGCCTCTTCTTCTCATTCTGCGCTGTCTTGGCCGCCTGCAGGTAGGGTGTGGGTTGAGGGTTTAGAGTTTAGGGTTTGGGTTTAAGGCAGGGTCGGGGTTCAGGGTTGAAGGTTGAGGGTCCGAGGTCAACCCCTACACTGGGTTTCCTTTGGGGCTTCAACGGTTTCGTTGTTGAGTGATGGGGTTACCCTTACAATTGTGCGCCCTGGAGTGACATGAGAACAGAATAACCCTAAACCCTAAACCCTAAACCCTAAACCCTAAACCCTACACCCCAAACCCTAAACCCTAAACCCAAACCCTAAACCACAATGTTGTTTAAGTCACCTATGGCAGCTCCTCCTGATATCTCAAAGCATCGGCTGCTTTTTGGAAACTCAACACCTGACGGACCCCGAACCTCCTCAACACCCCAAGCCTCCCAAACACCCCCAGCCGCAGCAACCGCTTGCCTCTACAAACCAACTGAACATCCCTAAACCCTAAACCCTAAACCGTACTCCCTAAACCCTAAATCCCAAACCCTAAACCCTAAACCCCAAACCCTAAACCCTAAACCGTAATCCCTAAACCCTAAACCCTAAACCCCAAACCCTAAACCCGAACTTTGACCTCCACAAGGGTTGCGTTGGCGTCCAAGGCTTGCTGTGCCGCAGACCTCTCGGCGGCCTTTGCAGGCACAGAGGACCCTTCAAGCGTAGGGGTTCAGGGGTTTAGGGTTTAGGGTTTGGGGTTTAGGGCTTAGGGTTTATCGACCCTTCAAGCGCTTGGGGTTTAGGGGTTTAGGGGTTTAGGTGTTTCGGGGTTTAGGGGTTTAGGGGTTTCGGGGTTTAGGGGTTTTGGCTAGGGGATTAAGGTTTAGGGTTTAGGGTTTAGGGTTTAGGATTTAGGGTTTAGGGTTTAGGGTTTAGGGTGCGAAGCTGCGGCCATGAAGAGCAGGGAACGAGGGGTGTGGTCGCCTGATACCCGAGACATGCCCCCCAAAACTCATCTTCCATCATGCCCTAAGCCCTAAACCCTAAACCGAAACCCTAAACCCTAAACCCTAAACCCTAAGCCCTAAACCCTAAACCCTAAACCCTAAACCCTACACTCCTAAGCCCGAAGACCCCGAAACCCGAATGTCAGGGCTTCTGGGGTCTGGCTTAGGGCCCTTCAGGGGTCCCCCCCAAAGGCGAGGTTGTGAAGGGCTTGGGGCTTAAGGGGTTTAGGGTTTAGGGTTTAGGGTTTAGGGTTTAGGGTTTAGGGTTTAGGGTTTAGGGTTTAGGGTTTAGGGTTTAGGGTTTAGGGCTTAGGGCTTAGGGCTTAGGGCTTAGGGTTCGTGATAGAGTTTAGGAGTTTAGGACTTGGGCTTGAGGGTTTGCGTCCCGAGGGGTTTGAGCCCAGGTCTGCTTTGCTGAGGAAGGGTTTAGGGTTTACGGTTTAGGGTTTAGGGTTTAGGGGCCGAGGTCTTATATAGAGGTCAGGGATTGCCTGGGGCGAGTGCTTGGCCTCCGCCGCGCGACCCTGAAGGCTCAAAACCCCCCAGCAAAGACTCTTAATCCGAATCTCGAATGGCCTCAAGCCCAAACTCAACTCAAAACCCTAAACCCCCTAAGCCTTCAAACCCTCAACCACTAAACCCTAGACTCGAAACCCCTAGACTCGAAACCCTAAACCCTAAACCCTAAAGCCTAAACCCTAAAAGAAGTCCCCGAAATGTAGCTGTGGCCTTCTGGTCAGACATGAGGTGCCCTGCATACTCCTTTCAAGGAATCGAGGGTCGTGCATTTGAGGGGATGTAGGGCTCAGGGCCCCAAACCCGAAGCCCTAAACCCTAAACCCTAAACCCTAAACCCTAAACCATAAACCCTAAACCCTAAACCCTAAAACCCTAAACCCTGCACCGTTTCCTTGCTCTACTCCCAATGTGCCCCTGCATGCTCCGCAAGGGAGATCTCTTCAAAAACGGTCACCAACACCAACACCAACACACTCCTGGCCATTCAGGCAGTTGAGTCGCACGATCGCCTGCAGGGTGGCAGAGTTTCGCTCTTCGGCTTTCGGGTTTCGGGTTTAGGGGTTTGGGGTTTGGGGTTTAGGGGGCATTGGCTCTTCAAAACGACGGAAAAGCTCAACTCAACTGACACCTGAAGAACCTGAAGCCTTCAAGCCCCGACACCAAGCTGATCCCATGCTGAGGGCCCGGAACCCGAAAATCGCAGGGCCATGGTCTTGCAGCTGGCCTGGAACTGCATCCCATACTTGCCTTCGCACAGGGCTGGATGGGGCTTGAGCCTCAAACTTTAAGAGGTTTGAAGGTTCGGGCTTTGGGGGCGTTGGGTTTGAATAGGGGCTTAGGCATTTAGAGTTTAAGGAAGTCGGTCTGCTTCTTTAAGGCGGGCTCAGGGTTTAGGGGTTTAGGGCTGAGGGTCTTCATGCTTGGGATTCCCAAGCTGCTCAAAACCCCACAAGACCACCCAAAGAAACCCAAAAAACAAAAAACGGCGCTTGCGAGCTGCTAACGGTGTAGCTGATGTCTGTCTTCGTCAGCGGCCGCTTGCAGTGCCTCAGCTGGAAGGGTGGGGAGGGGAAGGGGGGCTCGCACGACAGCAGGGAATGAGGGAATTAGAGCCCTATATATATATATATATAATATATACATACATGTATACCCTTTAAAAAGTTACATAGGGCACCTCTCTTTCCCCCATTCCCTACTAAACACCGGCAAGTCAACCCTACGCCCTAGAGCTTCTGTCATCAAGGCTGGTCATCGCTCTATGGGCCCAGTTCAATGCCCCCCCCCCCCCCCCCAACAAAAAGAGCGCACGCAGCTCGAACCGCAGAAACTTCGGGTTTGGGGGTTTTAGGGCTCATGGAAAGATCTCGCAGCAAAGCACAAAAGCCACTAAACTCCCATCGCAGCGTCTTCTGCAGAAACTGGTTCAGCTCTTGCTTGTAGTCCGGGGCAGCCATGGCGATGAATGTCTGAGAGGCTAATCCCAACAGCTTTCGTGGCCGAGTACCATGCTGGCTATCAACCCATACGCTTTGTGAAGACACCCTTGACGCGACTTCAATGTTGAAGAACCACATGGGAGTCAACAGCTTGATGGCTAACTTGACTGTACCTCTCTGCGGATAGGCCGCGTGCTGGTATGACGACGGCCTTCAAGTTTCTAGTGGTTTTAGAGTTGAAGACCACGCTACAAGAAAGAGCTTCTCCTAAGCTGACTACAAGCAAGCCGACATGACGTGGCATGTGGTTTGCAGGACCTTCGCCCCGTCTGCCCTGAGCTCAGAAGGCCATCAGCAGCACTGCGACAGACAGACCAGCACACACACACACACACACTTACACATGCGCAAGGTTTCGATGCGAAGTCTAGGCTCTTAACATGCCTCGCGGTGTTGCAAACGGCCACAACGCCGAGGTTTTTCCAGCACCCTAAACCCTCAACCCTCAACCCTCAACCCTCAACCCTAAACCCTACTGTAAGCCCTCAACCCTAAACCCTCAACCTTAAACCCTAAACCCTAACCCCTGATTTGCTTTCGGCAGGACTCCGTGGACAGTCGAGGCCCGAGCAACTCGGGAGTTCGGCATCTGCTGCATGCACTCCTCACATGAAGTAGGGTTCTTATTTCTTCTACCCCCAAAAGGACACCAAATATATACACTCACCAATATTAAAAAGGAACCTTCTATACACTCACCAATATTAAAAAGGAACCTTCTATACACTCACCAAAAACAGTGATATAAACCCTGCTTCACATCACGGGCCGGCTGGGAGGTTGAAGGTTCCGGGACTGGGTTTAGGGTTCTTGTTTCGGGTTAAGGGTTTAGGGTTTAAGGTGCAGGGTTTAGGGTTTAGGGTTTAGGGTTTAGGGTTTAGGGTTTAGGGTTTAGGGTCTGGGTTTGGGGTTTGGGGATTGTAGGGTTTAGGGTTTCGGGTTTAGGGTTTAGGGTCTAGGCATTTCAGAAGCACAGGGCCCTCCCAAGCCCTGTTTGTTCATTGGCAATACACATATGCACATTAATATGGGGGGTGGGTTTGCGAAAATCAGGGACACCTAGAATTGACCCCAAATAGTAGTATTCCCTTACAATGAGGACCCCCGAGTTTCGTAAACCCCCCCAAAATCCACCAGGCCCTAATCGCTGGCGTCTCTTGTGTTTCAGTTGGAGGTGAGGGCCCCTGAGCTCTTGGGGGGACCGGCCTCCAGCAATCACCAGCCGCCCAACCCGCTGCGACATCGCGATGTCCTGGAGCTAGGATTTAGGGTTTGGGGTTTGGGGTTTGGGGTTTAGGGTTTAGGGTTTAGGGTTTAGGGTTTAGGGTTTAGGGTTTAGGGTTTAGGGTTTAGGGTTTAGGGTTTAGGGTTTAGGGTTTAGGGTTTAGGGTTTAGGGTGAACCACGCGCGCTGCCGCAGGCCCTGTCCCAGCACCCACGCCCAACGCCCAAATTATGAACCCTAAACCCCCTAAACCCTCTAAACCCTCGAAACCCTACAAACCTCCTAAACCCCCAAAAAACCCCCTAAACCCCCCCTAAAAACTCCCTAAACCCCCCAAACCCCGTAAACCCCCTAAACTCCCGAACCCTCAGACCACCTCCTCAGTCCCCAAAAGTCCCAGGAGGAAGTCGCGAAGCAGGAGGAGCTCAGCCTTTTTGGCATTTTAGGGTTTAGGGTTTAGGGTTTAGGGTTTATGGTTTAGGGTTTAGGGTTTAGGGTTTAGGGTTTAGGGTTTAGGGTTTCGGGTTTAGGGTTTAGGGTTTAGGGTTTAGGGTTTCGGGTTTAGGGTTTAGGGTTTTCTCCGGACCCTAAGCCAGGCAAGCCAGAAACCGGGAACCGCATACACTTGCTGAAACGCGCGAGCCCGACCCCCAGGCTGGACTCGAAACGCTACTGTCGCCTAAGGCCGACACGTTCAGCCGGTAAACGCTGAAGCTCTGAGCCGTCAACCCCAAACCCCCTTGAGGCTCCCACCCGCCCCCCCCCAAAAAAAAAAAGAAACACATAACAGAAAAAAAGAAACAAACAAACAAACAAACAAACAAACAAACAAACAAACAAACAAACAAACAAACAAACAAACAAACAAACAAACAAACAAACAAACAAACAAACAAACAAACAAACAAACAAACAAACAAACAAACAAACAAACAACACACACACACACACAAGAAAAAGCCCCCGAGACCCTCAGACACCCCTCCCCCCGCTCTGGACCTTGCGCGTGCGGGCATTGCCGATGCGGAAGCCCGATGCCAAGGCCACCCTTCGTTGTCTCTGCAGGGGTTCGGGGTTTAGGGTTTAGGGTTTAGGGTTTAGGGTTTCGGGTTTAGGGTTTTGGGTTTAGGGTTTGGGGCTCACTTGGGTAGGTTCGAAAGTTGGAAAGTTTATGGCTTCATAAGGATCCTATAGGGGTAGATTGAGGGGGAAAAAGAAGGATCCTAGAGGGGATGACTGCAGGAAAACAGTAAGAATCTGCCGAGGCCTCGCGCCGTAGGCGTATGGGTAGCACAAAGCAGGCACCCCACCTCTAATCCCCTCCCCAACACCATGCACAGATTGCCCCAACCCCCCCCCCACCACCCCTGCCCCTCCCCGCAAACCCCCTCGACCCGATGCCCCACCACCACCACCATCGCTAACCCCACCCGCTTTCCTCATGTTTTCCTTGATTTCTTTGCCTGCGTGAATTCCGCGTCCACTCGTCTCCATGGCTTCAGGGCTCAAGCTTCAGGCATACTTCCGCCCTGTGTCGGACAGCATGCGCCTCGCGCTGTGCAGACCGCAGCCGAGGCGGGTCGCCGGAAGCGTTTTTTAAATTCTGTTCAAATCTGGCCCCTGTTCAGGTTCGCACGCCAGCTTCGGGCTCAGGGTGCAAAGACTGTGCGAGAGGAAGAGCTGCCCTCTGCAAAGAAGTTTCTATTTTAGGGTGGTGGTTAGCGTTTGACTGAAAAACGAGGCTACTGCAGCCAGCACGCAAATCCTTGGAGTGATCTGCCATGGATCATGGCCGCGCTACAGGTTGGAGCCTCCGTGACCTCTGGGCTTAGGTACAACTGTACGTTCACATAATCCGGTCTATGGGGTGGGAACAGCAGCTATCAAGTTCCACGCTTGCTAGAAAGAAGTGAGTGATGGTCCACCTTGACTCAGTGTCGTGAAAAAGCTGTGGCTGAAACCATGTGCAAATCATTGACGTCTAGCTGGGGGCCTGCTGTATCTCTAGATTGGCTCCAGCACTGGAAGGCACTCGTACACCTTACACCTCCCGGGAGGTTCAGCACGGATACATGTGGGGCTGCTCATGGCTATTCACTTTGCTTGACTGAGGTTGAGGACGGGAGGTTCAGGCTTTGTGGTTGGCTTGCGGAGCTCAAGCAGATTGCTTGCGGCTGCTCAGTCTGTTTTGGTTCCAGCTCGCACTCGATCCAAGCACACTCAGACTCATCTGAGAGAACAGGTGTATCCGGATTGTCCGACAACGCGTGACTTCACCGCATGTTCCTGGAGTGGCTTCTCGAAACGCGGGACGCTGACATACGCTGACTGCGCAAGCTCTCACAAGGCGGGTTGCCCTGGGCGGTTCGTGGGATTCCCAGCAGCTGAGAGCTTTGCAGCTCAAGAGTGTGCTCCGGGCCGTGGCCCTGCGGGGCCTAACTAACCCCCCCCCTCCATTCTCTGCCTGGACCAGAGAATCTGCAGATTTTGAGAAGGAAGCTTACTTAAGGACTGCAGCACCGGAGTATCTGTTACATGGGATCCAAAGCACATCAAGATGGGTTTCACAAGGGCCCCAGCTGATGCTGGGATCTGGCTAGCATCCAGAACAGACCCCGGCCAACCTTAGGGAATCCCCCTTAGCTGCACCGGGGTGTCTTGAAGCAGATTGGGCGAATTATGGCTTTCAGCAAAGGACATGCCGCCGGACGGGATCTAAGTCTTCTCCGTTTTGTTGGGAACCCCCAAAATTTGCCAAAAGCAACTTAACCGCCTCCTGCAGCCAAGGGCGTGGCGACTGCTTCGTGCCACAAGACAAGGCCAGGAGTGCGAGAAAAGGCCCTGCTGCTCTACGTGTGCAAAAAAAACAAGGTAGACGTCGGGTGAAAATCGCAAAGGGGACGATTTTTCTGTTTTTCGGAGGCTCAAGGGCGGGGAGAACCTCGCATCTGTGTGGGAACGACCAGACAGCTGATGTCGCACTCCAGAGCTCCCGAATTCGGGGAGCTGAGGCCATGAAGGACCTTGGCCAGACGAGACTTGGGGGGCATTACCGTTCCCCTACGGGGGCTGCAGTGGGCCACTAGGGCTTTAAGCTAAGGCAACATGAGGCCTAGGCTAGCTGGCTCTTACGAGTGTTCGGAGCCTTTTTTGGAAGTTTTTCGGCTGCACGGAACCTGACAGCAGGGGTGTCTCTGCCCCACCTCCGGTCGCCCCGGCGCAAACGGGAGCTGTCAATTGCAGGGCTCTTGTGCGTGGCCGAAGAATCGGCTGAACCTAGCCCACTTCGAAGCCAGGCTCTTGAAATCTGGCTTGGGGACCAGGGCATCGGTGTTCAAAGGCTCAAGTTGGCTTAAACATGTGAAGAAGCGCCTCCTTAACAGAAAACACGCCGAGGCGAAAAGGGAGCGTTGCCCTCCCTATGCCTTCTCCCTCAGAGCTCAAGAACCTCCACTTTCAGATCCTGCAACTTAAGGGGCTCCGCTGTCAAGGTGCACTCAAAGCCATGAGCCGCTGGCCGTGCTTCCTTCCAGCCGGACGCCTCGCCTCGCCGAGGCGCCGGACCGAGGCTTCCGTGGTGAACTCCCAGGGCTCTTCAGGGGGGCAGAGAACTCGTCACGTGAGCACACCAGTGAACACGCCCCCTTTGCACTTGAAGAGAGAAGGGCCGCGTAGGCGCGTGGTCTTGGGGGGCCCTTTGGTTCCGAGAGGCTGCGCGCAGCAGGTAGAGGGGGGCATCCTCGAGCACCTTGGGGGAGGCCCGAAGTCTTCGGACTGCGAGTGCCTTTGGGTGCCATTTTTTGCCGGCTGCCCAGCGACTCATGGCAAGCAGGCCGTCAAAACCTACCTCTGGCCGCTCTTCTCCGCGCATTTTAAAGTTCACATTGCTTGCGGAGTTTCTTTTTGCATTTTTTCCTGTATTTGGGGTACCCGCCCACGCACTGTCCCAACTGCTATGCCTTCCCAACATCCAAGTAGCATGGAGGGTGGGTGAAGGCACTCGGAATGGCACTTTGGCCGACGGCGACTGCAGCCTGTGCCAGGAAGGGCCTGGGGGCCAAGGGGCGGCTTTGAAAGTAATAACCAGGGGAAGGCTGTGGAAGAGTGTCAAGAATCTCCAGGCACATTCAATCTTTCTTGGACCTGCCAGCCTGGAACGAGTTTCAGGCAGCCTGCAGCTGCATGCCCTGAGGTTTTGGGGACTTGTGCCTGCGGCACGAAAACGCTGCCAGCGCCAAGATTCGCGAGACCACTTGCCGGATCGACCGCATGGAGACTATGAAGGAGGCACCGGAAGTCCCCCCATCCATGGCTTTGGGCGCTGCCCCAACCCCCCTGCTGAAGAAACAACTACATCGCTTTGCCATCTTTGCACAATCTTTGCAATCATGCAAAAGCGCCGGACACAGCTCGTGACGCAAAGCCGGAAGTGAAGGGCCATGAAGGGCGATAGCGGTGAAAGCAAGGATATACGCCAGTTATACACCGCAAGGCAGGCTCTTGGGACCTCGCTGGGCTTCCCAGTGCTCGCTGGGCTTGCTTGGCTCGATCTCGGCCCCGGTGTGTAATCAACGCGTCGGCACTTTCAAAGGCGTCTTTCGTGCCTCTTGGGAAGAAGCAAGGTGCCCATGTTAGGTCCTAGGGGCCTCACAAGGGCTTACAGGAGGTGGCCAGGGCACATGCGCTACCAAACTCGGAAGAATCCAGGGAGTCGCTGTGACTGGTTCTTAGGGAGGTCTCTGAGGTCTCCGATGTTTCAGGTTCCGGGCTCAGGGTGACACGGGCTCACACTGACACTGGGGGAGGTGCATGGGAGTCAGGGCAGCTTCTCTGCATGTGCAAGCTCCAGCTCCTCCTCTGTCTTGCAGTCCAGGAGCAGCGGCTCAGCGACCGTCTCAAGGCCGTGAGAAGCCTTCATGCTCATGATGGCATCTGGATGAATCAAGGGTGTCAGGGTGCTCACAGGGCTCAGGACTTCCGACATCAGCTCCTGGCGCCACGTGAGGCACACATGGCGAAGGCTCCGAAAGTCCGGGCCGACGCAGTGCGGCTTCTGCGGATCGGCTTTGAGGGTTTCTGCAAGGTGCCCAAGGGATTTCAGCAACGTGCTCAGACAGGGAGCCTCAGAAGCCTAGAGGAGAGGAGTCCCCCCCGCACCTCACAGCGCTCTTGGACTTCCTTAGGACGCCTTTAAGCAACTTCCGAGAGAGGCCGACGAGCGTGCGGCGCGGCAACTGCTTCCCGAGCTGAGACCCCAAAGTGTCGACTCTTGAAGGCTCCAGGCTCGAAGGACCCAAAAGGGTGCAGACTGCCAGGGCAAAAGTTCGAAGCCCATCACGCAACGCGACTTGTGGCTCGGGAGCGCGTGAGGCCAAGGACATGCCGGCCTCGGCACGTCGGGTCCACCTCCCTTCCCTCCCTTCCCTCCCTTCCTATCATCTCAGAGTGTTAGGGTTGAGGGTTTAGGGTCCGAAGTGCTGAAGACCTGCTTTTAGAGCGCGCCCTTTGAAACCCGGGGCTCATGGCCAGGGGCTGCGGCGCATGTGTCCATAAAGCCCAGGGAGCCCATGTGCCCCAGGCATGTTGGGGCTCCCGGGCTGCGCTTCTCCCAGTCCTTCCTAGTGATTCCGAGCGCGCACTCCTAGGGGATTCCGGGGATTCCTCGTGCGCGCCTTCAGGGGCACTTCGATGACGCGGGGACGCGCGAGCCAGCCGAGCCAGCCGGCCGCATGCAGAGCTTTCAGGTGGCTCAGGAGCCAGGGAAGGAGTGCTTGCAAGTAGGGTTGCGGCTTTATAGGGCCTTTAGGGCCTTTAGGGCTTAGGGGGGTACCCACCCCTTCTTCCCCGGAAGAAGGCCGTGGCAACTCAATGACTTCCATAGTCGACAGGATGGGAGGCTATTTGAGCACAGCTTCGAAGACCCGGCGCGCGTGCTGGTGAAGCTGCCCCCAAGCCGTCAAAGCCTTAATGGGGTATCCCGTACTCCGAAGACCAGTCGGCCAAGGGGTTTAGGGTTTAGGGTTTAGGGTTTAAGGCGGCCTGAACCAACCGCCCTAAAAGTCCGAAACCGCGAGGAAAACTGACTCAAGGCTCTCCGCAAGAGAGCCGTGCCCTCGACAGGCTCCACATACCTCCCGTGCCTCGGAAGGGTCAACAAAGTGAGGCTCACGGGCTCACGGCACACCCTTTTCCCACAAGCCCCGAAAAAACTCCAATCTGGCCCTCGCAGCCCTCGAAGCTTAGAGCGGCAGATTGAGGCGCGCTGGGCGCAGCAGGCTCAAGTGCTGAAAGAACGGCACGCTTTCAGTTTTCATTCAAGTCTCAAGACCTCACCCCCGCGGCGCCCCTCATCCTCAGGTTCCTACGCCTCGGTGAGCTCTCACACCGTTTTTGGGCACTGCTCTAAGACTGCTCTTGCCTGTGAAGGCTCAGAGGCTTCAAGTTCAAGCCACTCACTAGGCTCAGCAGGGTGTCCCGGACTCATCTCTCACGCTTGGTCCACGCACTCCATGGGAGAGGCCCGAAGGGAGAGAATCAGAGGCTCCATGGGTAAGTTAGCAATAGTTAGCAATAGTTAGCATGCGGTTCTTTGGCATGTTTCGGGTTCACCAAGTCTCCAAAAATGTGTGGAGAATTTTGCAGGAGCCGAGGCCACGTAGAGCCTGGCAGCTGCTGCAGAAGGGAATGGAAAGGCCCCTTTGAAAGCGCAAAGGGGTCAGGGTCCGCTGTAGTGTTTTGGGATTAACTTGGAACCGCCTTTAAGATCACACCCCGAAGTCCCAGATCTTGGGCTCGGCCCCCGGTTGTGCACCGAGCAGCCTCCAGAAATGCCCATGAGACCCATCAGCCAGAAACACAGAGGCACGCGCAGCGCCCAGAGAGGGGCGTCGGTGTCGGCGGCTTCGGTTTCGGCTCACTTGGGGCTTCAGAGGCACCCGATGCACTCTCGCAGCCCCTCGCCTTCCGGGGCATGCCATTCCTGGCATGTCCCCGAGCCCACGAACGCCCAGAACCCAAGAAGCCCTAGCCTAAAGTGCCTTTCAGGACGCTTCAGGATGTCACGACACAGGAGGTTGAGGACTCGAAGAAACCTAAGGTACTCCACTTCATCACGCCTGCGCCCCCTGGCGCCTGCTTAAGCACCCGCCTGCGCACTCGTGCCCGCCGTAGCTCAACAACTCCCAGGATCCTTAAGGGGAGACGCTGGTGCCGACATGGGAACTTGTCTGGAAAAAATGCGCAATATTCACACAACAGGAGAAGCTTCCTTGCACAAGTAGGAGGGGCAGGGGGCTGCAGACTGCACAAGCGGCAAGGGGTCCCTTGTGGTCCGGAAGTGGCTTGGGTGTGCAGTGCAGCATGGCCCTTGTTCCGGGACGCGATCGGGTGATCACGGCATGCCATGGGCTACCCCAGAATTTTGATGACAGCCTCGTTTGGGAAGCCTCAGGTTGCGTAGGGCTGCAGCCTAGGCCTAGACACCTTCATGAGTTTGTGAGGCTCTGGTCCATGGCCTCCACCAAGCTGTGGCGATGCACATTGCAGTTGGCACAGGTGCTTTCTGTGTTCAAGGAGCTCACAAAAGCCAGGGACCCCTTGAAGCTGCAAGGACGAACGACCGGAATTTGATAGGCTTCATAATGCAAGTTCGAGGACCTGCGAGGCAACTCACTTGTCGATGTTTTCGTAGGTCCCAGCTCAGCACAGAGCACCTTGCGCCGGATGAACGCATGCCGCGCCCAGAATCCGAAGCGGCGAGATTGTCTCATCAACCCTGCAGGCTGCAGCCTGCGAAGACCGGCCCACCAGAGACGTCTCAGTGGCTGATGCGCCGCATGAGCCTGCACGGCGCACGGGACTCAGGGGATTCGAAGGTGGAGGGGTGCACCGGAACCAGAGGACACTGCAAAGGACACAAAGCCAGGCTTCCACAAGGATGCCAATGCCGCCCGGGCCGCAGCGCTAGGGTGGAGGGCAGTGAGGGCAATGGGACAATGGGCACAGCAGGCGCTTGGCATCGGGGAACAACAGCCTGGCGGGTGGGGCGTGTGTGGCGTGTGTGGCGGGCCTGGCGTGCGTGGCGGGTGTCACATATACGTCTGCACAACAAGTAGGGGGAGGGCCACTGAAGAGCCCCTCACATCTCTCACCGCAGCGCTCACAAGCTGGCTACGGACGCATGCTTCAGGTACTCCGGAGTGGCGAAGCTAGTGTCTTACCATCAAGCGCCCGCTGACGCTTAAGCTAAGCAGGTACCAGAGAGGGCCCCCTTTTTTGAGGCTTCAAGAGGGGGATGAAGGGGCTCCCAAAGGCCACTAAACCCCCAAGCCACTACCAGCGCTCAGAGCTGGGGAATCTGTTGAAGCCCTCAGGTCTCCAACGCAAGGCACTTGCGATGAAGGAGTCACAAAACTTTTCAAAACCTCAGCAGCTACCACACATTTTGCCCCAAAAACAGCTTTCCTATATAACTCGTTCTCAAATGTCTGCGAGCTCTGGGCAAAGATGCTGGCGGCTCTGGCAAACCAGAGCCCACTGAGCAAATGGCCGAAGGAAGTAGCGCAGGGCGGGCTAAGGACACATCGAAGCTCCCAGAAAACCCCCGTCCGCCGTGATCTCAGGAGCATCCCAACAAGAAACTGTGTGGGGCAAAGGCAAGGCTGGAACGCCAAGAGGTCCCGCTCTTGATTTCACTTCAGGCTTTTCCATCAGTTTTGGCCCTCGGGCCCCCTCAACCTCCTAGGCTAGGCTGGCATGAAGTTCAGCCTTGCCTTCGTGATCAACTTGTGGGACAAGGCCTCAAGAGTTGCGGGTTGCTCAGTCCCACGGCATGATGCGAACTTGGACGTTGCAATGAGTGCGGCACATGACTCTCTCAGTAGAAAGTCTTGCCCGTGCACTGGTGGCATAGGGCAGATGTCGCGGATGCTTGGACCGTGGCGAGTGCCTGTGACCTCACGACAAGGCATGGCAATCCTGCAGCGGGCCCAGAGCCACAAACTGTGAGCTTGTGCCCAGAGAGCGCCAACCATGCCCTGCTTTTGCTGGCCCAAGCAACTTGGGCGCTGGCGAAAGGTTCGGCCTCACCTGTCATGAACAAAGCCATGCCGCGATGCCGAAGATCAAGGCTCTTCAAAGCCAAGCCGTCGAGCGATATGGCGCTGCCGCAACATCAGCGTGCCAAGGCTCAAACAACGGCAAGATGCCAACGGTGCCAACAAGTCCTTGCAAAAAGCGCTGCCACTTCGTCGAAGTCCTTCATGTCTGCGCCCAGCCATCATGAACAAAAGCCTTGCGAAGATCCTACATGAAAGAGCTCTACCATCAAAATGCACGGGCACAGCATGTCAAGATATGTCAAGGCTACGTCTGCGGATGTCGGAGATGGTTGGACGATGGTGCGGTAAAGGCTCGTATCGAAAATGCCAATCAACACACCGGACAGTTCCCTGCGAGCAAAAACGCTTGAATGTTTTGCACGCATCAACTTGAAGAATGGCACCGACCGATTCAATTCATGCCATGTGTGCTAGCCAGACAAGCCTTGATTGAAACATCACGCTCGGTGCCCGAACCAGCAATCAAATAGCACCGGAACAAAAACTTTAGGGTTTAGGGTTTAGGGTTTAGGGTTTAGGGTTTAGGGTTTAGGGTTTAGGGTTTAGGGTTTACTAACCCAAAGTTGCTCAAGAAGTGCTTGGCTTGTCTGACGGTTCACAAATGGAGGGGGCGGAAGTCTTCCACAAAACTTAGCTTTAGGCTTTAGGCTTTAGGCTTTAGGCTTTAGGCTTTAGGCTTTAGGTTTTAGGCTTTAGGCTTTAGGCTTTAGGCTTTAGGCTTTAGGCTTTAGGCTTTAGGCTTTAGGCTTTAGGCTTTAGGCTTTAGGCTTTAGGCTTTATGCTTTAGGCTTTAGGCTTTAGGCTTTAGGCTTTAGGCTTTAGGCTTTAGGCTTTAGGCTTTAGGCTTTAGGCTTTAGGGTTTAGGGTTTAGGGTTTACGGTTTAGGGTTTAGGGTTTAGGGTTTCGGGTTTCGGGTTTCGGGTTTCGGGTTTCGGGTTTCGGGTTTCGGGTTTAGGGTTTAGGGTTTAGGGCCTAGGGTTTTTTAATCCGAAGTATGCATCAACTAAGTTGACCAACTAAGTTGACCCCACTTATGGCCAAGCAGGCATAAGCTACAACGTCAAGTGAAATCGGCTCTTCACCTCCCCCACAGCAGATCTCCCAATGGCAACAAACCTCACCGCCCTAAACCCTAAACCCTAAACCCTAAACCCTAAACCCTAAACCCTAAACCCTAAACCCTGAACCTCAAGAGCAAATGACGCAGCACGAGGATGGGCAAGAAAAGGGCAGATCATGTGGCAATCCAAGTGCCTGTATGATGACACGATGTTGGCCCTTTCACTCAGTCTGCAAGCAAGATTACCGGACCCGTTCTTTGGTGGCATGTGCACTTCGTATACATGTGCCTGCTGATGCCAAGCGAGCGTCGCGACGGCAAACATGGCTGAGTCAAATGCTTGCAAAACAGTGTCTCATCCACTCGAACGATATGCGGAACAACAAACTCGTCAAGCACAACAGCCTGCTGAGGGGGGGGGTGGTGCATAGTTTCATCATCATGATTTGGGGTTTGGGGTTTAGGTTTGGGATATGGGGGTATGGGGGCCTTTTCGGACCCATCTTCATTGCGAGGGCTCAACAACCCCTGAAGCCTTCAGCTGGCTCCGCCCAAGAATGAAGCCCCAAATCTGTCCCCTTTTCATCGAAGCTTTTTGTGAGGAGGGTCTTGTGCTCCATGGAGCTGCAGTCCTCGAGCAACTGTGCTGCGACCGCTCCCATCCGGTGTCGAGAGGTCCACTGGTTTTTATCCGGTGGCAGACTAGTTGCTGTATGTGCCCAAGCTCAATGGAGAGTAGCTCCAATTTACCAAGCGCCCACCCCTTGCCATCGGCGTACAGGTCAGCGGCATCTGTATTGGATGATACACTCTGGGTACGCCTGATATTTTTCGAAGATAACATACTCCTCATGCGCTTGCTGCCCGTTGTGGTGGCCAGGCATTGGGCCTGGCTTCGCCACCACTGTGTCCACGCAACGTGGAATGCCAGGATGCTTCGGAGGGATCTTCCGATCTTTGTCCACTGCTTCAGCAAACGCCACATCGCCAAGTATCACTCGACTGAGCAAGATCGTGTGCAAGCTGCTCTTCTTCGTGGTGCACTGATGGCTCTTGCAGGCTTGGCTTGCAAAATAGGTTCCCTGCCCATAATAACCAGGCTTGCTCAGACGAAAGTCGAAGCCTCCAACAGCAATTTGCACAGCAGACTCATAGTCGGTACCATGGAAGAGCATGCACTTGGCAACGCTGCTATCAAGATGACCGCACTCTGCAGGCAGGTTGTCTGAAATCTGCGTGGAAAGTTGGCTGCTACCTGCCGCTATGTTAAACCAGGAAAGGTCAGACTTGACTTGCTCCAAGTGGGCTTGATACTTTGTCCACAAAGGAAAATTCTCCACTCGAAGCACGCGAGCAATCTCCACACCTGACTTGAAGGCACTCTCCCCATGATGCTGGAACTGGTGGGCGATGCTGCCCTGCAGGAGTTCAGTCAACCTTGCAAGAACCTGCTTGTCAAGCAAGTCCACAGCGTAATCCATCAGTGGCTTCAGACTGGACATGTCAAGTGATGGCTGTCACGATGATTGTCGGATTGCTGTTTGATTGCCAGGAGCTACTTGACGCGAGAAGACTTGAATTACCGGCTTCAATGCAAGCCCAATACCCTTCAGATATATTTTTGTGGTCCTTCGTATTCTTCGCCCACTATCTGAATGCGCAAGTGGCGTGTCAATGTTCTGCCGCAAGTTCCGCATAGATGTAGGCTTCACCACTGATGCTCCACCAAACCGGCGCCCCATCGATGTTGCATACCTGGACTGGGCGACTTCCCCGTGGACAATCTCGTTAGAACAGGCGCCCACGTCCAGTTTAAGGCGGGGAAAGAGATGGAAAACAAGGCGGACACTGTCTGGTGAAGCCTAAACCAGGAAGGCCGCTTCTACAACTTTGGCAGCTGGAAATGCTTCTTTTGCGAAGCGGTGAACCCGGCCAACAGTGGCAATTGTCTTGCCTGCCACAAGAGCGGCCCGAACAAAGGCGCTCCGTGCGATGGTCGTTGGACCACGGGGATCGAACAGTGGCGGGGCAATGGCGCAGCAGATTCTCTAAAGAGAACTACTGGCGCAATAAAAGCGGACGGACGCCGCTAGATTGCTTTTTGACAAGGAGCTGGCAAAGCACCTCCAAGCAATCGAAGATGCGCGGGTTCTTAACACCAGAAGTCACGCAAGCTGTACAAGCCCCACCTTTGCTGAAATCCACAAAGGACTTGTGCAAGTCAGCACTTCTCTCACATGGAAGGCTACTCAATCAGGCCCGCTTTCAAGCACCACTTTACACCGAAACCTCTTGCAAGAAAATCGATGTGGCTGATGTAAGATTTCGAACAACTTGCCTGTAACTTGGAGACGCCTTTGCAGCTCAAGCTTGTCCTGCTTCAAGACATCGCATTGTTTCGACAGCTCCGTGCACCTTCAGGTCATGTGCTGGTTCTCAACAGCGCACGCAGCAAGTTCAGCCGCAAGCTCTTTGTTCTCTTTTACTAAGCGCTTGTGCTCCTCCTTCACAATGCGATCGACCTCCACTTTCATCTTGATGCCCATCTCTTCCCACAAAGCATGGAAGCCAGAATTAGCCAACGCGGTGGAGGTTGCTTTTTTTTTTTTTTGGACTGACGCCTCTTTACTACATCAGTAGCACAGTAGGCCGGTCTTGTTGGGCTCGACGTAAAGGGTGAAACAAAGTCAGCGCACACAATCCGCCAGACACACCAAGCAACCACCAAGCAAACAAACACCAAACAAACAAAGCGAGCAATCGCGCTGAACTACTAGATACCCCACGGACTCAGTACTCGAAGTCGTCAATGAAGTCCCGGTTCACAAGGAAGCACAGAGCTTGTGGGGGAATCGCAATTGCGACATTGCCAGATTCTCAAAACCACCATCATGTAGCCACTGGTGCGACAGCGGTTATTCAAACCGAGGTCATCAGAAGAGGTTCGGATCACGTACTCGTTGTCAAGGACAGACAGCCGACACTCAATGGCGAAAGGATGTTGCAAGTCAGACTCCCTAGGGGGGATGAAAGATGTGCATATGCCCCATGGTGGTCAGCCAGTGGGGACTTAACAGCAAGAACAATCAAGGCAAGACCGGCCCAGGGCACTCCATGGTGGTCAGCCAGTGGAGTAGCTCCGAGCTCTGGGTGCTCCATTCACATTGGCGTACAAGTGCCCACCCAGAGAGGTGTCCGCACCCGGCACAGGGGGCATATGCCCCATGGAGGTCAGCCAGTGGGGACTTGACAGCAAGAACAATCAAAGCAGGACCGGCCCAGGGCACTCCATGGCGGTCAGCCAGTGGAGTAGCTCCGACCACAGGGTTCTCCAGTCAACCTGGCGCACAAGTGCCCACCCAGAGAGGTGCCCGCGCACGGCCAGAGGGGGGGCGAGAGTAGCTACAGCTACCGATTCCACGGGGAGAGTCCACAGCGAGTTACCAAACCCTTACGCCACAGGGTTTATAATGACAACGAGGAACCTCCCAGTCCAGGCATCTCACACAAGGCCACGCAACCTTGGCGCTGGCCTGCGCGTCGGCACACATCAGGTCCCTCCAAACCCAAACCCGCGAGGTACGTCGGTAAGGAGATGGGAGGGCTCACATCACATTGGTGCCGAAGTGCAAGGATCTCCATGGTATTGCTACTTTGATCCAATCAGAGCCTTCAGGTAACATCCATGCGGGCGGGGAGCCCACTTGCCCTGCCGCAGGCCAAGCTCAGACGAGGGTGACCCTCTAGAGTCTCAAGAGGGCCAGGTTGTTCTACAAGTGGGGAATGGCTCCCTGCCAAGTCAGCGGGTGCATAATCTCCACGTAGAAGTGTCCACAGCCAGCGCGCCGAACTGCTAGGTCACCCTGTGCACTCAGTACTCGAAATCGTCGAAGAGGCCGGGAGCACACATGTAGCACCGAGTGCGCAGGTGCGTCGCAAAAGGCGACGTTGCCAGATTCACAAAACCACCATCATGCAGCCACCGATGCGACTACATTCAGCACCAGCCAAGGCCGTTCACGAGAAGGTTCACAAGTCCGCCATCACAGGTGGGGCATAGTCGTGCCTTGGCACGGGACGTTGCAGGTGTCAACCTTCTTGATCCGAAGTAGAAAGTTGCCCCATGGTGGTCAGCCAGTGGGGACTTAACGGCAAGAGCAAAGGGTAGGACCAGCCCAGAGCACTCCATGGTGGTCAGCCAGTGGAGCCTCTCCGAGCACAAGGCGCAAGGTGCTTTTGACTCACAAGAGTCTCGTCCGACGGCCAAAGCAGGCTTGACTGCTTCGTTCCAGTCAGAGCCATCAGGTAAACCCAAGCAGGCGGGGACCCCACCTGCCCCGCAGGAAGCGGGAGAGTCCCCCAGTCGAAACTTCGCACTCAAGGCCAAGAAAATATCACCTTGGCCGGTGAGGGTTGAGGGTTCAATAACCAGAATCAGACCCTCCATGCCCAAACCGACAGACGTCGGCGAGGAGATGTGAGGGCTCACATCACGCTTGGCCACCTACCGAGGGGGAGGTAGTCATGTATGGCTGCTTTGACGCAAGCAGAGATATACACCCAAGCAGGTAGGGAACCCCGCAGCAACCCAAGCACAGGCGAGAGTGGCTCTCGTGAAGGCCAGGTTGTCCACAGGTGCTCGATGGCAATTGCCAGGGAAGTGGGAACCTTATCTCCGCGTAGAAGTGTCCACAGCCCAGAAGCAGCATCCCCTAGCTGGTCTCTCCCAATTGGCATGACGCCGTTGTACGACACGGGGGTGTCACCGTCCAGACGAGAGATGGTCAACACTCAAGTCCGAGGGGTTCACACACGGTCGTAGCACATAGAAGCGGGCAACCTGCCCACCTAGAGGGGGCAGAGGAAAGGAAGATTGGCCGTTTTACCGATGACAAAGCTGGAACATCCAGGCAGGACCGGTCCAGGGTAGTCCGTGGCAGATGGCCAGTGGAGCAACCACGAAAGAAAGGCCCCCCGTTCCCACAGGCACACCGCGGGGCCGACCCAGAAGGGTGTTCGCAGCTGCAAGCTGTAAGCACACCAAAGACAAGCACGATCCAATCCGTGGCGAGAGGGTTGCCAAACCCAGAGTATCCCGAGGTAGTCTTGCGGCATGTAGCGGTGAGGAGATGTGAGGGCTCACATCACGCTAGGCAGCATGCCATGAAAGGACTCAATGGTGCGTTCGCATGACGTCAGTAGGAGCCCTCACTGTCTATTGCCAGGAGCCATCCCAGTCCGGACGCCGGGAGCGATGGCCAGCTGAGGTGGTATGGGAGCGCCTCCCTCGGCTGGGCATGACCTGCATTGGAGGCAGCTCTTGCTCCTCAACCCCCCACTCAGGGATGCCGTCCGGAATGGGGATACGCATGTATCTTGTCATTGAGGTTTGGGCCGCGTGCCACATCACCCGGACAGCTTCCTGGATTTGCCTGTACTGCACAACACCTTCGTCCTTTTTCTGAAAGGGGAAGGAGGTAACTGCAGCACGCAGGGCCGAAGGCTCAGGGTCCTTGGGGGTGCCATGACAGTACATCCTAAACCAGAAGCTGTTGAGGCGCTGCTTGGTTGGATGTTTGGCTCGCATGAGCCCCTTAATGGCAGCCCAATGAGCAGTGGCTGCGTCATACCACGCATTTTGGGGACGGTGGGGCCCACGCTTGGTGGGTGTGGTGCTGATCCCTTTCCAACGCGCATCAAAGATGACTGGCAGCCGGAAAGGGGCGGAGACATCCACTTCTCGCAAAGCTGCAAGGTCAGTGGTTCGCAGCTCCGAGAAGCGCCAATCATTCACCTGTGCCTCGGGTTCGTCCTCCGCGTCAGACATGTCATCCATCGGGCAGGGAGAGCCTTCGTTAGTTTCGGAAGAGATGCTGACGACCTCCGGCGAGGTTGCTGCAGTGTTCACTTCCACAGGCGCAGCACAGGGCGAGGAGAGCAAGCACTCTAGGGGCAACACTCGCCGTAGAAAAACAGCCATTCTGTGAGAAGTGTCAGGCCATTCCAAGTTAAAAACTGACCAAAAATGTTCAATGTTTTGGTTGGCCACCGAGGCCGCAAGAGCAAGCCGGATGGCGTCAAGGAAATGGGCAGGAGGGAGGTCCGGCCTAAATTCTTGATGGTGCCTTTGCCCAAGTGTCTGTGTGCCCTGCAGCGTGATGCCTAGGAACGTATTCAGGCTGGGCTGGGCCAGCCTGGCCGTTTCCACGTCCGTGTGCTTAGCAGCTGCGGCCCATGCCTGCAAGGCTTCTTGGGAGGCTTGGCCAGTGACTTGTGGCAGTCCACTGTGCGCGTCCATCACATATTTGGTAGTAGGGCACGTGGGACACCGATAAGCGCGGCCAGCCAAGAAGGCCACCATGGCTGCAGGCGGCACATTGATCTGCAGGTCAGTAATTTTATTGTCAAATTCAGGAAAACCAAGAACAATGGGCAGCCCTGCCGTACGCTCCAGGGGACCTTTTTGGTGGGACTCGAATGCGAGCAGAAGTGCACCCAGCCA